TGTGTGGACTGCAGCAATTATCTCCCATTTCCAAACGTTCATATGAAAGAAATGCATGACTTTATATCCAGTATTATGGAGCTGGTTTAAAAACATAAGAAAACAACACAGAAAAGTGGAATGGATTATTTTAAATCTGTGTGCTGGAAAACGGATTTGACTTTTTTTTTTTTTTTTTATTTCAACTGGATCTGGAGTCTGGATCTGCATTTTCTCCTGCCGGCCGATATGCATTTTTTTTGCAAATATATGCGGCCGATCCGATCCAGATATCGGATCGGGACCAGCCTAATTTGAGACACGTTTCCTGGTCCAACTGCATTGCTTTATTTAACCAGCAGAGGGCAGTATGTGGACCAAAACATGTTTTATCAGACTAACGGGACCCACGTCAACTTGTTGACTACCAACAAGCAACTCAGTCTTTGTCTAATAGATCCAACCAGGACGTGTCTGAAGGTGGTGTGTTATCCAGACTACATTTATATGCGTGTGTGTGTGTGTGGGGGGGGGGGGGTGGCGCCACCTAGTTTAAAAACCCACTTATTTAATATGGCCTTTAACATTGTAACCTTAGGTTGAGGTAGAGCACCTTTTTTTTTTTAACCTTTTTTACCTTTTTTATGTATCTTATTTATTTATTTTCACATTAAAATCACATATACATGCTTTTTATGTACAGCACTTTGGCAACCTTGGTTATTTTAAATGTGCTATATAAATAAAGTTGACTTGACAAATGGGCACGATCAAATGAATCCCCAGTATCCTGTTCCAGCTCAGTAAAGTCCTAAATGTCTGGGAGAGTGAAGGGGAAGGACTCTGAGTATACCTAACTTCTTCACCAGCAAAGTCGAACACTTTAGTGATGGTGACTTTCGCAGGTTGGGACGATTTTGGTTCTGGACTCAAGGGGGAAACCGTCGACACCGGAGAATCCGTCTGCAAAGAGAAACAGATAAAAACAATCAGCTCCATCCAGTAAACTTCAGGACTAACGTCTGTGTTGGTTAACACGCTGTCTTCATTTCCAGAGTTGTAGTACTGGAGTAAGTACTGGAGTAGAAGTACAAGTACTATTTTAAAAAATGTACTCAAGTACCCAATTTTTTTTGTACTTAAGTTTAGCAAGTAGAAGTATTTCAAAAATTGCTACTCAAGTATCGAAAGTACAAGCATAAGTATAAGTAAAAGTACAAGTACAAGTACTGTGTATATTAAAAAAAAGCAGTCAAAAGTGTGATAGATATTGTTTATATTATTTCAAACGTGTGAAAGGCCATACAGGTGTTTACAAAAAACAGAAAATTACATCTGCATTAGCAATCAACAGCACTTCATCTACTATTATTTATTATCCCAGTGTCAGAGTCCTGAGCTGAACATTTATGCTAGCATGTAGGATACAGCTAGCCAGCTAGGTTAGCTTTAGCTAACGTTAGCTGCTACGTCCTGAGTGAACAGGGAGAACTGAACTAGCTCTTATTTACTAGCTTATATGTCATTGTATTTTTTTTACTTACTTTGATATGCTTCTTTAGATTAGATGGGGAATTTTTGAAGGCCATTATTTAGCAATCTTTCAGGAGGCTTTTTTAAAATATAGGCTATGCTTGATGGCTCCAATCGGCCAATGAGGAGCCAGCTTCCCAAACCCTGACAGAGCTTTCTATCATTACGTTTACAAATCAGTAACCAGTAACGATTCAGCCCGTGAAAGCAAAAGTAAAAGGATTAAATTAATCAAAAATATGTAGTGGAGTAAAAGTAAAAGTAGGGAAAAAAATATATACTTCAATAAAGTACAGATACTGCATGTTTGGTACATTTTTAGTTCTACTTTCTACTGTATAACTCTGTTCATGTCTAAGAAGAGTCCAATTCTTCTGGGGTCTCACTTACTTGCGTCTCCTTTAAGGTCCCGGACTGAGAGGCTGGGGCCGGGTCTTTGGGTCTGGTTCCCACATCCGATAGAAAACTCGCCCAGAGATCGTCGGATTTCTTCTTCTGTTTTTCTTCATCGTCCTGGTCAGTTTGACGCCGAGGCCGAGCCTCTTCTGCCCCGCAGCCAGCCTCTGTTTTCTCCAGCCTCTGGGGTATTTCTCCCCTGTTTCTGCAGATTTAAATGGTTCAAATCCGTAACGTTATCTCATTATGCAGGTCTGTGATCATTGAAGGCAAAAGGAAATGTTTGCAATGCAATGAAATGACATGTCGATGGGAATACCACGGAAAATACTTTGTGAATAAAACCTTCGTGAAATGATTTCCCTCTGGGATTATGAAATAATTTCCCTCTGGGATTATTAAAGTATTTCTGATTCTGATAAACTGGTGCCATGTTATAGGTAAGTTTATACAGATCTAGATGAGAAATATAAATATGTTTTAGCCATTAAGCTCATGCGTCAATTATATTTTAACAAGTCCTTTGGATCCAAACCAATAGCCCAACATTCATCTGAGCACACTGGATTCCTCATTTTAAACACTGCTTAACCCTATAATATCAAATGTATCATATTTGATACATAGATTTCGGATCTGAGACTTTTTGCATCATTCAGTGGTAAAAGCTTTGCTCAAACCCCTGTTGTACACATTCAGATATACCTGATAACAGCCAGTAGAAGACTACACCAAAATATATGTTTGACTTATTGCACGCTAATTTGATCAAAATAATTTCTGTTTTTTTTCTTCATATGTTGTTGAGGGACCAAAGAAAGACTTCAGACTAAAAAATCCAATATTCTTCTTATTTTTCTTGGATCGGGCTTTAAAGGGTTAAGAATAGAGGTTTCACGCTTAAAAAGTGGAAATGACCCAAAACCTCCAACGTTTTAAATCCCAGATGGAAGTTTGAATTGGTCACTGTAAATCATACAACATTAATGAGTAATTCACCTATAATTGCAGGTCCACCAGAAGCATTACAGCCTCACTAATCTGAAGACACCAGGATCCTCTATGGTCCATCCCACTCTCACCGTCAATTCTCACCTGGAGCTGATGTCCTTCCTCTTCTTTTTCTTCTTGGGCATGTTGACTGGACACGGCACAGCGTCGTCCTCGTGAAGAGGGTCTTCCTTCTCACACTCATTGATGTCATCCTCACTGAGGTTATCATCTAAGTTAAACACGAGGAAGAATAAGAGAAGCAAAGAGAGTAAAACACAGATAACAGCAGACGTTCTTTATTCTAGTAAAAATAAAACTATAATTATGCAATCACTAATGATATATTTCTAACCAGTCTGTATCTTTATTCCTGCACCACCAGGAGAAAACATCAGTTAACTTGATAATGCTAATGGCAGAAATATTCCTTATCGATCATTTTGATTTA